TCTGGCCTGACGGCTATGCGTCTCCGAAATGGTAGCTGCGAAGAGATGAAACAGTGGATATCCGACTATCCTTCGGGGCGGATGGAAGCCGAAGATGCATTGATGCGTATTGGTTCGACAAGGTCCGACCTGGCGAATTATTGTCCGCTGTTCGAGCCCTAGGTGGCGATCTCTCCATCGAACCACCTTTTCACCGAGGTTTATTTATATACTGGATTTCAATTATATTCTGGTGCCCCTCCGGTGGGCCGGGGTACAGGGCAATCAAAAAGAAAATTCAATTGGTATCCGCTCTTCACCACCCCCCTTCTCCCCATCGATTCCACCCCCTGGTACTCGGCTCTACACAGCTTCCAGCTCCCCCATATTTGGAGGACTGGCCCGGATTTCTCGGAATCAGATTGTCTCAGACTGATGATTGCATTCCGCTTCCGCTCTTTTTTTCCGTCAGAGGCATCATCAATCCGGCCATGATTCTGCGACGTATATTGATGCTGGCCCTTCTTGGGCTGGTGGCGTTCGTTGCAGCTGCGGAGCAGCTTCCCCAGTGTGCGGTAAGTTTCTGAGTTCATCTAAATTAATATCTGGTGTCTCACCTCTGACAGTCGTAGGCTACCTGTCAGAAGGACACTCTCGCAGACAAGACGACGTCATGCAGCACGAAGGACCTGCAGTGTCTGTGTGATGACAAGAAATTCCAAGATGCTGTGGAAACTTGTGTTACGGCGGGCTGTTCGGGGCGAGAGGCACTGAGTAGGTTCTTACTTCTCGGTCCATATGTGTGGATAAGTACTGATCCAGACAGCGGCGAAGCGCGTCAGTTCTCACCAATGCGGCGTCCCGCCGCACAAGGGCCACCCTGAGGTCGAAGGCGCGACGCTGGTTCCGCTGATCCTGGCCGGAATTCTGTTTGTGGTCCGTATCGCGGCCAAGATCATGGGACTGGGTGGCGGCTGGGGACCCGACGACTATACGATTATCGTGGCTGAGGTGGGTAATTGTTGCATCAGATGGGTGTATTCTTCTGACGTGAACAGATTCTGGGGATTGTCGTCTTTGCGCTGAACGTGGCTAGTAAGTTCACTTGATCTATATACATGTTTGGTAGATATTAACTCTCCCAGTGATCCACTATGGATTCGGTCAAAACGTGTGGGATGTCACTCCGATGGATAACATCACCGTCGTGTACAAGGTGCGTCCAGACAACCCACCCACACGCTACAACACGCCACTAATAGCCGCAGTACTTCTTCGCCTTCGTGATCATCTACAAAGCGCAAATATCCCTCGCCAAAATCTCCGTGTGTCTCTTCCTGCTGCGCATCTTCCAGTCGACCGCCTTCCGCTGGACCACCTACACCATCATCGGATTGAACGCCGCCATCGCCGTAACCTGGATGTTGACAGATTCGTTGCGATGCCTACCCGTGCATCTGTCGTGGACGGCCTGGCAGGGTGAGGAGACGGGCCAGTGTATCGACTTTATGACGGTGACGTTCGTCAACGCGTTCGTTAACATCGCAGTCGACACGGCCATGGTGCTGATGCCCGTGTACGAGATCTCGAAGCTGAATCTGTCCGCGCGGAAGAAGGCGGGCGTGAGTGTGATGTTCGCGATGGGTTTAGTGTATGTCCTCTCTTCCTTTACTTTCCTTTCCTTTCCTTTCCTCCCACATATCGCTAACAGCAAGACAGATTGACTGTCGTCGCCATCCTCCGAGTGATTGTATTCTGGTTCAACCGCTGGGGAAGCAACCAACTAGGTAAGCCCCCTCCATCCGAAAAGTATCCAAAACGACACGATACTAACAGAGGATCTAGTGGAACTCCAACCCATCGTGCACTGGTCCGTAATCGAAGTCCAAATCGCCGTCCTGTGCGCCTGTCTCCCGACGACGCGCGCCATGGTCGTGCATCTGTTCCCCTGCCTGGTGAACGGCTCGGGGGCCAACTCGACGCAGCAGCCGACGGCGCCGTCGAAGATGTTCGGCGCCAGTCGCCAGCCGGGCAACATCTCCATGACGGTGTCGTACTCGGTGGACTACAACAGTAAGCCGCACCAGGCGGACCAGAATAGTTTTGTGCGACTGGTGGAGATGGATCCTATTCGTGATGATTCCTACCCGTGATGAATGGACTCTCTGTTCGGGTTGGATGTTGGAGTTGGTAGCTGGTTATTTGAGCACACTGGCTACATGTATTATAGCTTAATAAGTAGATATGGATTGGGCGAGGTTCAAAAATAAATATTAAAATGAATATATAAGGATAAAACAGAAACATTCGTCAGTATGAGAAGAATGACTAAGAACTGCCTCTGTGGGTCGTGGATCCACCATGATTTGCGCGGGTTTGAGCATATACTACGGAGTATACGGTCATTGTTCTCGATTTGCTTGAGACTGTCTGTTCTTCAATACTTATTTACTCTCCTCTCTCCTCTTACTCTGACTCCAACTCTAACTCTAACTCTATTATCATCTATCTATGACACCTCTGATCAATCTCTACCTAACCGAACATACACACTATAACTACACCCTCCACATTCTCTCAATACTCAAAGAAAGACACCTTTTATATACATAAATCATAAATCAAAATGTGTGGCCCTCCCCGCCCCAGCAGCGGCAACCGCATTGCCATCATGCACAGCACCAACAACAAAAAGACCAGCCAATACGCCATCTGCTTCCACGACCGGACGGCAGCAGACGCAGGTACGCGCGCTTTTGTTCGCTTCAGCGACGCAGGCCAGTGTCAGCGACTGCGTGGGAGGGGTGTCAATCTGCGGATTGAGTATGTTTCTTTCTTTCTTCCTTCCTTCCTTCCTTCCTTCCTTCCTTCCTTCCTTCCTTCCTTCCTTCCCTTCTTTTACACACGTGTATACACATGTATAGATAGGATGAAGCTAATAAGCTATAGAAAACACGGTGACTTGACGGCCTCCGCACAGCACCATCCTCTGCATGCATTTCAGCTGCCACACGGGTGGGATGAGCGCGAGTTTGAGCTGCCGGAGCGGTTGGATCTGGGGGTGTCGGAGAGGGGGATAGTTGGGCGTAGGGTGACTGTTACTGTGGATGGGGTGGATGGGTGGATGGATATGGGAGTTGTGGGGTATGATTGATCTTTCTTCTTTTTTTTTTATTGTTTGGTGTTGGTCGTACTGTTCATGGTTTGGGTTAGGGTAAGCTTGGTTAGGCTGCTGGTACGGTCTTGATATCCCTACAGATGTATATTAAGTATGAGTTGTATTTATTCTTTGTGTGAGGGACAGTATAATAAACATAATAGGTATACAGACATGTATAAAGTAAAGCATTCCAATTCAATTCAAAAGAACAGAGTCAGAACTAAACCTTCGGGGCGTCTTTCTTCTCACCCGCATACCGCGCCTCGGCCTCCTTCCAGTTAATCACCTTCCAGATAGCCTTCGCATAAGCCTTCTTATCGTTCTTATACTGAAGATAATAAGCATGCTCCCACATATCCACCCCCACCAGCGGCACCGCATCAGTGATAGGATCCTGATCCTTGGCACTAACAATGCTCAGCTCCCCGCGGGGCGCATCGCTCACAAGCCACCCCCAGCCGCTGCCCTGCACAGCGAGCAGATTCTCCTCAAAGGCTTCAGTGAAGGCCTTGATGCTTCCCCAGTGCTCCTTGATGGCGGGCGCCAGGGTGGGCGCGGCCTTGTGGATGTGCGTCTCGGGGCTGTCGAAGGGGGCCAGGTTCTTCCAGAAGAGCGAGTGGTTGATGTGGCCGCCGGCGTTGAACTGGACTTGCTTTTGCTGCTTGATGAGCTCGGGGACGTCGGGCTTGGGCTGGTCGAAGGCCTTTGCTTGCGCGGTGAGCGCCGCGTTGAGCTTTTCGACGTAGGTCTTGTGGTGCTTGTTGTAGTGGATGTCCATGATCTCTTTCGAGATGGCGGGTTCGAGGGCCTGTTTGGTTAGTACTTGTATCCGGTGTTTGTATGAAAGGAGAATAGGGACGTACATCCTGCTTGAAGGGAAGCTCGGGGAGGGTGAATTTGCCGGCCATGGCGCTCTGCTTCTTGCTCAGGGCGAGGAGGTCTGCGTCTGACGGTGGCGTCGGTGCTGCGAGAGCGGCAGGAAGGAGGGAGAAGAGGACGAGGGAACGGAACTTCATGGTTGCGATTGACGATATGATATCACGTCACTAGGCCAGTTGATCGTCGAGGGTGTGGATCGTGGGGAGGACCGTGAGAACTGGGGTGAGGGAAATTGAGCGCTTTTATAGACGGCTAGAATGACGCCAAGCATGGTGTCCTACCCGGTCAGTTCCCGGAGGAGCAGGAACGAGATGAAGGACAGCAAGGCTCGGTGCCCGAAGTGCAGACGTTGTCTGGGATAGGGCTAGTTTGGGGGCGTGGTGTGAAGGATTGAGCGCTGATTGATAGAAATGTCAGCAGGATGCCAGGATGCCAGGATCAGGTTGAGCTGGGAGGGGAAATGATCGTCTGTTGTCAGCGTATCTGAAGGGCTTTAGTCTCCTTGGCTCTCAGTTGTACCTTGCTTTCGCTCCCATATCCTATCTTTCCTATGGTATCCTTCTTATTCTATCCTATTTTTATGAGCGGTACCTGTGGCAGTGCAAGAACTAGACCGATTCTCCCCCAAAACATTCTGCAGAGGATTATAGTCTCGTTTCATCTATCCATACTTTTGTGTAGACAGTCTAGTTCAGCTTCTAGTCAGATACAAATCGGCATGATATTGTATCTTGTCACGATCCCGGTATATCAGGAACAGGCTTATGAACCAGATTGATGAAAGAATAAGATCGATGAATAATTATCCCGATCTAACTATTCATGGATTATGTACATGACTAATCCATGCGGGGCCGAACCTCGGCATCTCCGTCGGTTACGTTAACCTTCTTTACGTCTACTTCTACATAAACTCGTCAACAAACAATACTTCATACTTCCTTACTTTGACACAAGTTCATCACAAAGGAAACGAAACAAAATGTCCGTCCAAGACCAAGTCTCCCTCGACAACTTCAGCAACATCTTCTCCCTCGATGGCAAAGTCGCCGTCGTAACGGGCGGATCCCGCGGTCTGGGCTTGCACGCTGCGAGCGGGTGTGTCTCCATTCTCTTTCTCAATTTCTCATTACTATAATTGATATATATTTATATATATACATATATATATATGTACTAATTATTTATATCAAGCCTCCTCCAAGCAGGCTGCTCCAAAGTCTACATCACCAGCCGCAAAGCCTCCGCCTGCAACGAAGCCGTCGCCGCCCTAAACGCCCTCCCGGGTAAACGACCCGGCGCGCAAGCCATCGCCGTCCCGGCTGACAACTCGCGCATTGACGAGCTCGAGCGGCTCGTCGCTGAGGTGCGCAAGACCACCGACCGCGTCGATATCCTCTTCGCCAATGCCGGCGCTACCTGGGGCGAGAAGTTCGATTCGCATCCCCCGGAGGCGTTCAGCAAGGTTATGGATTTGAATGTGAAGAGTGTTTATTATCTGATTCAGAAGTGGGTTCCCCTTTCTCTTCCTCTCTCTCTCTCTCTCTCTCTCTCTCTCTCTCTCTCTCTGTATAAATATATATGTTATGTACATGTATGCTAATATGGTATAGGTTCACCCCCCTCCTCGAACCCCACGCGACAGTCGCCGAGCCCTCCCGCGTAATCGTCACCGGCTCGGTGGCCGGCATCTCGCTGGGCAGTCTCGGCCCCAACGCCGCCTTCGGATACAGCGCCTCCAAAGCAGCCGTCATGCACTTGACCCGCAATCTGGCCGTCGAGCTGGGCCCCCGCGGCATCCTCTGCAATGCCATCGCGCCGGGCTTCTTCCCCTCCAAGATGGCCAGCGGGCTGATTGAGAAGGCCGGCGGCGTCAAGTCTATGGAGGACCATAGCCCCAACCGTCGGCTGGGCAAGCCGGAGGATATTGCGGGCCTGGTGGTGTTTTTGGCGAGTCGGGCCGCGAGTCATTTGAATGGGGCGGTGGTTACTACTGATGGGGGAAGTCATTTGAAGGGGAAGCTCTAGTCTTTTTTCTTTCGTGATTTGTTTTTGTTTGCTTCGTTCGTTTCTTTCTGAAGTTCGTGAAGTCTATCTTTGTATATAGTAGATATAGAACTACAGCTTCGTCTCCCGTCCTTCCACGTGGACCGCCTGGTCCACAATCTCCATCGCCCGCATCAGCTCGTAGTCATGCTGTCTGGGCGTGATAACCTGCACGCTCAGCGGACTATCCAGGTAGACGCGGCGATCGACCGTTTTCTCGTCCCCTATATTAGCATCATCGATTAGCACCCTTAAACCAAAAGGAGAGAGTAAAGAAGGGGGGAACATACACAACCCCCGATTGGCCTTATCCCAACTCCCCCCCACAGGCCCCGCCACCTCGCCCTCCAAATCCGCCTCCCCAAACCGCCGAACCGGCACACTCCCCGCCGGATAATCAAGCAGCACCCAGCTACTCGTATACCCCACGGCATTGTACCGATCCAGCTGCGGCACCGGATGCGGCGCCACCGGATGGATCAGCGCGTCGATGCGTCCTTCTCCTGCCTGGCCCACCTCCCACAGACTCCGGTGCAGCTCCCGCTCAAGCACCCCCCGCTGCGCCTGCAGCTCCGCCAGCTGCGCCACAGACAGCGGCTTCCCGCGCTTCATGCGCTTCTGCAGCCACGGGATGAGCGGCTCGCCTGTGCGCTCGAGTATATCCATCATCGTGTTGCCGCCGTCTATGCCCATCAGTCGGCCTGCGACTGCCTGGCAGCGGGTGAGTGCCTTCGGCACGGGGACTTCGACAACCTCCACGCCGGGTGTGCGGCGGAGTGCCGTGGCGACTTCGTCGACGACGCGTGCGATGGGCGGGAGGGGGGCAACGATTCCGTCGCTGCGGAGGATGCCGATCTTGAATTTTTTTTGGCCCGAAGGGTGCGGGGAGGGCGAGGGTGAGGGCCACACGCCCGGGATGCAGTCTTCGGCGAAGAGTTCCGCGCGGGGCACAATCTCGCGCATCAGGGCGTCGAGGTCGGCGACGGAGCGGGCGAGCGGGCCGGCGACCGTCTGCAGCGAGATGCGGTCTTTGCCGGCTGGCTGGCCCATCTGTTGGCCTCCGAAGGGGACGCGGCCGACGCTGGGCTTGAAGCCGTAGATGCCGGTGCACATGGCTGGGATGCGGATGGAGCCGCCGATGTCGGAGCCGAAGCCGGCCATGGAGCCGCGGAGGGCGAGGAGGGCGGCTTCGCCGCCGGTGCTGCCGCCGACTGTGAGCTGGCGGTTGAGGGGGTTGAGGGTGCGGCCGAAGAGGTGGTTGGCTGTGTCGAGGGCGCCCATTGTTTGGGGCACGCTGGTCTTGGCGATGATGATTGCGCCGAGGGATTCGAGGAGTGTTACGAGGGGGGCGTCTGCCGTGGCGGGTTGGAAGGCCAAGGCGGCGAGGCCGAGGCTGGAGTCGATGCCGGTGATGTTGAAGGTGTCCTTGAGGGTGACTGGGAGGCCGTGCAGGGGGCCGATGGGGGTGCCTGTGCGGCGGAGGTGGGCGTCGAGGTGTTGTGCGCGGGTAAGCGCTCGGTCGAAGAGTGGTTCGGTGAGGCAGCGGGTGAGCTGGTGGGCGACGGATGCTCTCTACATCATCATGTTTAGCTGGATGCTTGGATATTGTAGGCGGCCAAAGAAGGAAGTACCTTACAGAATGCACCCACGACCTCCTCACAGGTGAGTTTCCCCCCGGCTATCTCCCCTACCAAACCGCGGATATCGTACTTCTCTGTGATTTCCAGCTCGTGCGAGGAGAGAAGTCCACACGTCCGCGGAACGTCCATGACGTTGACGCGTCCGTAGGACTGGACGTCGGTGACGGACTCGGCGGGGGAGAGCATCCCCGCGGGGATCTGGGCGGGGGAGAGTCGCCATTCGGGGGGGATCTGGGCGGCGAGGTGCACTTGTTTGCGCTGGGCGATGTCGATGTAGGAGTCCATTGTATAGTATACAGCATACAATTATAATTATAACTGTATATCATGTATGATTGTCGTTGTACCATGGGAGTTGTAGAATACTCTCCGCAGATAGAGGAGGTGGATAGCCGAGATTATGTAAGAACCGAGGTTAATATAACCAGTATATTGATATTTTGAATACCTTCATGGAAATATGTATAGAGAAAGGTAGGTTTTAAAACCGCGACACATCCTTCCCAAACAATCTATTCAACAGCCACCGGAACCCCACCCGCAACTTATTCCGCCAGCTGATGCTCATCGTCAAGTACGCCGAGTTCCACACCAGCGACGCCATCCGCCCCGTCAGCTGTCCAGGCAGGTACTTGCCCACCTGCTCGGGCAGCTGCATCAGCGCCCGCGCGTCGCCGATATACGCCAGCGTGCCCATATTCTGGAAAGAAAATGGCGCCGACTGCGCCAAATCGCCCGCGTTGAGCCGCGCCGCCAGCCACTTGGCTTCTTGGAAGGTGGCCTGCGCTGTTGCGGGCGGCGCGCCCGTCTCGAGCATGGCGTTGTCGCCTAGGGCGTAGACGTCTTGAAGCACGGCGGTCGTGCCGTCCGGTCGCTCGAGCTGTACCCGCAGCTGGCCGTCGACGAGGAGGGCGCCGACCTTGGGGGCTTTCTTGACGTGCCAGCCGGAGTTCTGCTCTGCGGAAGATTCCGCGGGGGACGCCGCGGGGAGGGCCTTCCCGTCTTTCATTTGCGCGGACCGGGTCGGGAATGAAGGGACCTCGTCGAGACCCGTCCGGACCAGCTTATTCATAGTGTTGCCCGTCACCCACACGCACATCCCCACACCGACCTCGCCTTCTTCCTCCGTGCTCAGCGTCAGACACCGCTTGGGGTCCATATGGTGCGGGGGCTGCTGGCCCGGTTCTCCCCAGCGGAGGCTCTTCACGTGGTGGGAGGTCTTGATCTCGATGCCCTCCTTGCGCATAGTGTCCATGGCATAGCGCGACAGCGACTTGTCGAACATGGACAGCACGGTCGGCGCGACGTCATACAGCGTGATACGCGGGATCCCCTTGAGCGTCGGGTACAGCTGGATGAGGTCGGAGTAGATGAAGTCGCGGAGGTGGGCAGCCAGCTCGGTGCCCGTGGGGCCGGCGCCCACGATAGAAAAGTGCAGCAGCCACCGCCGCATGTCGGGCGTTGTGGTCGGCAGCACAGCCAGCTCGAAGCACTCGCGCACCCGACGCTTGACGCGCTTCGAGTCACCGATGTCCTTGAAGAAGAAGGCGTTCTGGCGCACACCGGGCGTGTTGAACGTTTTGCTAACGGCGCCGACGGCGATGACGAGTCGGTCGTAGGGCACGTCGAACATCTCGCCTTGTTCCCACCATGCGGGAGAGGGGGCCGGGTGAGCGACATTCTGTTTCTCGTCCGTGTGCTCGCGCGAGGTCTCTGTCACGCCGCTGCGGACGACAGTCGATTCGCAGCGGATGACCTTGCGATCGAGGTCGATGGAGCGTGCTGCGGCCTGGATGAAGTCGATCTGGGCGGTTGGGTCGCGCACGGGCTCGACGATGTTGGAGAAGTCCAGCGAGCCGCTGGCTGTCTCGGTCAGGAGCGGGGTGAAGACGAAGTAGGATCGGGGGGAGATGACGATGGGAGAGAATTTTTGGGGGTCCAGTTTGCGCGAGACGCCATACCCGCCCCAGCCGGATCCGAGGATGACGACGCGCTCTTTCTTCTGTTGGTTGGCGCTGGGGATGGCTGTCGAGTGTTCGACTCGGGTGGCGAGGGATCGATGGGGTTGAAGTCGTAGTGCTGGCCGTGTGCGACGTATCGTCTGTCGCCCGGCTTGCGACAGACCCCGAACGGGGATTAAGGCTGGCATCGCGAGGGTAAAGAGAGCTTCATCACAAGTAATTTTAGGGAAGAGTTGACCTTTTGTAGTTCAGTCTGTCATGTCTGTCATCGGCCAGCGGGTCATCATGACATCACGCTCGGGAAAACAGCACAACCAGAAAACAGCAGAACCAGAAAAAAAATCTATAAAGAGCCATACAAAGCCATACAAAGACAGGATATCGCTAATCCAGTGCATTTCCGGGTCAACGGAGGTAATATGTGATCCACATGCCGATATCACCGTCCACGAGGCATCTCACTCCGAGACCCGCCGAGAACACGAGTCGCGTCGGAAGGGGGCGGATAGATGATAGCCAATGTGATTATCTCAACTTTCAGCTGTGATTCCAGGCACATGTAAGCGCATCGGATTCAGGAGAGAATAATTACGGGAATCCACGGGTGGAAAGATTCGAGAAGTCGGAGAGAGTTCGGGTTGGGAGTCGGATTCAAGTCGGATGCAGATGACCTGTCGATCTGTGGAGCATGTGAATTATTGATTATACTATTGATAGAAAGATTTAATTAGGAGAATACTAGTGGTCAATATACCTTATCGTTAATATAATACTAATATCACGCATGGATAGTTTATTTTGGTGGATAGCATATTGGTGAGTCATAGGTAGAGGCTGTACAGATCCAAAAGCTTCACTTGATATCATACGAATAGTCCCTCGAAAAAGGCAACAAATCCCCTCGATAGGACCCCTCCACACTCCTCCCCCCTCTCGACCTCACCCTCCGTTCAAGCTCTATCGTCCTCCTCCCATACCCACCCCCATCAGTATCTACATCCTCCTTTCCCCGCCGTGTAGAAGCCCAAATTTTCAACCGTCTCCCCCCCTCCTGACAAACATCTCCAATATCATCAACAGCCAGCGCAATCAACACCAACGGAATGGAGATCGCAAAGCCCACCCCAAAGATATACCTCGCCACAAACCCCAAATGCAACCTCTCCTCCCCGTTCTCTGCCCTCGGAAACTCCACGATGTTGATCGTAAACAGCGTCGCGATAAAACTCAGCGGCAGAAACACGATGGTCACGATCGTAAACACCATGATAATCTTCCCCTGCCGCGTTGTCCCAGCAGCTTGATCCCTCGCGAACCGCGCCTCGAACGCGTTCGCATGCTTCTGCTTGAGGTCCAGCAAGTCTGTGATGGACATGTAGATGCGCTCGGCTTGCTTGTCCATGCGCTCGATGTCTTTGAGATGCATGTCGATCGTGCGCTGCTGCTCTTTGAAGCGCTTTTTGACCTCGTATTGGGAGCGTTGTTGGCCGGCGTAGGTCTCGCAGATTGCGTCTTGCAGGTCGGAGAGCACGTGCTGTTGGTGTTGGAGGACGGTGCGGATCATGTTGAGCTCGTCGCGGATGTCTTTGGCTTCGGAGAGGAGGTCGGTTTCTTGGCCGATGTCGAGGAGGTTGTCGACGAAGAGGGGCTGTTCGCGCTCCAACTCATCTGCATATAAATCTAGCGGGCTGGGCTGGTCGTGATAGCTGTTGCTGGTGGTTGGTCGAGGGGGCGGAGGAGGAGGAGTCTGCCGCGCGAAACGGCTCAGCTTGCGATGGTTCTTTAACCAGTCCGACGCCTGCGCCGAGGCACGATTGAACAGGTTGAAGAGCAGCGTCTCGCGATCCGTCGCAATCCCAATACACGACTCGAACATGTCCAGAAACTGATACTCCTCGTCGCCCATCCGGTGGCGGTCGAAGACGCCCGAGCAGCGGTTCGTGATCGTGATGGCAAGGTCGTACACCGAACGCACCGGCTCGCGCGTCTTGGAGTTGATATCCTCGATGATACCGTCCAGGACATTCAGCGGGTCATTCCGCGGCTGGTCCCACCGCTGCGCGAACCCCGTCACGATCAGGTTCGTGCCGACAATCCACATCCACAGCTGGTCGACCATGAAGATCTTGGGCTCGCCGGATAGTCGCTCCCGTCCCTGTCCCTTCGTCTGGTACCGGTAGACCACTTGATCTTGGTCGCGCGTCTGCGTGTCGATGTTGGGGTAGAAGAACTGGTCGAGGGTGCGACGGATGTGTAGAGATGTGCTTGATGATGCTAGATGCGCTCTGATGAGCAGCTCATCGCGTGTCCGCGTCTGCTCCCCTCCTCCTCCTCCGCTCGGCCCCAGCATCTGCGCCTGCTGGATCGCATCCTGCATCTTCTGTCTCCCCTGCGCGGTCTCGAAATGCAGATACGGCATGAACACGCAGACGTTGCTCGTCGCCGCGAGCGCCGTCTCCTTGCAGAGTGAAAGCGGCGCCGGCTTGGCCTTGTCTTTGCGGGCAGCTGTCACAGACGGCGGCCACGTACCTGGCTTTTTCTTCTGACCTTTCGCTTTCTTGCCTCCATCCTGGCAATAAGAGTCGTGATCCCCCTTTCTCCCTCCCCCAGACAACGGCTGCTGCTGCTGCTGCTGCTTCTTCCCCTTCTGCCCATCCCCCGAACACCTCCTAGTATCCCCACCACTCCCACTCTCCCCCACAGCAGTCGACACCATCGACTCCCCCGAGCTCCTCTCATCATGAACCCTCGACCCCGACCCAGACCCCCATGCCCTCGGACTACTCTGACAAAGCGGCCTCATAAAATGCGAATGCGCCCTCTGCCCCCGATGCTGATAATGGAAACTCTTCTCCAACCCCTTGAAGCTCTCCACATCATGAGCCCCCTCCTCTATAAACGCCTTCGTCAACAACGCCTCCACCCACCCCATATCATTCGCCGGCAGATGAATCCACCTAAAGTCAGTGGCTCCGCTCCGCTCCGGCACCGTCCTAAACGCCGCCTTCCGCGGATTCTCCGCATCCCGCCCATACAGCAATTCATACACGGATACCCGCCGAACCCGGTTCTCATTGTGGAAGTTCCCGAAATCGACGACCGTCGCGTCGAAGGCTTCGCACGCGCGTCGTGCATCCGGCGTTAACATGTTGATATTATTCACAGGCGCCAGCAGCGCCAGCACATCCCGCCTCTTGAACTGCGCCGCGCGCAGGAACGGCGTACTCCCAAAGTTATCCCGCAGCCGCCTCTTCACCCCCGGCTGCGCAAGCAGGATCTCCACAACACCCACATGGCCCCCCTGCGCAGCCAAATGCAGCGGCGTAACCCCGTTCAACAACTGACTGTTTACGTGCGCGCCCGCGCCCAGCAGCAACCGCACCGTCGACTCCGTCCCGTTATCACACGCATTATGGAGCGGCGTCCAGCCGCCATCGCTGCGCGCGTTCACGTCCGCGCGGAACCCGAGCAACAACTCCACGACATCGTCCCGCCCGTCTTTGATCGCCAGGTGCAGCGGCGCTTTATTCCGCGACTCGACGGCGTTGGCGTCCGCTCTCGCGACCAGGAGCATCTCCGCCAGGCGCAGCTTCCCCGTCGCGCACGCCCAGTGCAGCGGGGTGCGGCCGAGCGCGTCCACGCCTTCGATGCAGACCGTCTCGCCCAGAAGCAGCGCGATGACGTCCTCGCCCCAGTCGCACTGCTTGTCCGCGGCTAGGTTATGCAGCACGTTTCTGCGCCTCAGGTCCCGCGCGTTGGGGTCCGCCCCGCGCGACAGCAGACAGTGGACCATGTGCCAATGGTTCCGCCAGGCGGCGGTCATCAAGGCGGTGCGGCCCTTCTTGTCGGGGGACTCGGGCGACGCGCCGTAGTCGAGGAGGAGCTGGACGATGCGGACGTGGTTGCGCTCTGCGGCGCGGAGGAGCGGGGAGGGTCGTGGGGGCGGGACGTCTGTGGGGGCGCCTTGGGCGAGGAGGTATTGTGTTGCGGAGATGCATCCTCGTTCGCAGCTGCGCATGAGGCCGACGCGGAGGACGGAGTCGGTGAGTTGGGCGGTTTCGCGGCCGACGGTGAGGATGTGGTGCAGGGTGGGGGTGTCGTTTTGTTCGACGGCGCGGAGGAGGCGCGGCTCGAGGCGGTCGTTGTTGTGGCTGGAGCTGGTTATGCTCGAGCGGGAGGGGGTCATTTTTTTGGTTTGTTGGGGGTCCATTGTGGTTGTGTTGGGGGGTTTAGGGGGGCATGGTTGTTAGGTATTGTAGGTTGGGTGTGGTGGTGAGGTGATGATCACAGGGGTGTGTACGGATAATAAATGTGGATGGAAACACGAGGCTGACACCATTGCGGCGATCAATGAAAAACTTGCTCCGTCCGGTTAGCTGCAGGTCGCTGATCGACTAACCTATTCGTAAGCTAGTACAAAGCCCCTCGTCTAGCCTGATCCTACAGACGTCTACGGGGAAGCCACCATAGGAGACTATGGTAGACTACGACTGACATACAATATACTAGATGAATTCTATTACCGACCAAAGGTCTGATTATGCAGTCCGTCCAAGGTCCAGAACATCCAACCCGAACCATGCTCACCGGTCTAAACACGGGTACAGAATGACCCAACAGGAAAACGAGAAGGTCGACAGCGGAGATCGCATGTCCGATCTATCCCTAGCGGTCCGAACCATTGAACCGCGGATAAAGATCGAACGATGAACACGAAACGGGAGAAGGGGAATCACCACAACGGGCTCAGCAGGAGAATTAAAAATGCAATATGCGAAGGAAAAAAAATCATCGCCTCAAGATACAGAACAAGAAATATCACAGTCAAAAAAGGAAAGGAAAAAGAAGGAAAAGAAGGAGAGGAAAGGAAGGAAAGAAAAGGAAAGAACGAAAGGAAGAGATGAGAAAGAGGAAAAGGGGCAACGATGGGATTATCGTTTCTTTTGGTTCGGCACCTGCTTCAGAATGTCATCAAAGCTCATGGTCGGGTTGAAGCGGCTCATGGGACGCGCCGGAGGATCGATCGGCGCCACACCCGCCGGCAAGGGAAGCGCTTCCAGTCCCGGGTTGATCGACATCCGGTGGTCGGCCCGACTCCGGGCGGCCGGCGAGTTGGCGCGCGGGATGGCCGGCGGCGGCGTGAGGCCGACGTGCGTCGGGGCCAGCAGCGGCGTCGGCTGCTGCGACCCGGAGTAATGCGGCTGCTGCAGGTGCGGTTCGGACGAGGAGCCGGCGGACGACTGCTGGGCCTGGTACGGGGAGGAGAGCGAGGATTCGTTGTCATAAGGGTCGTCGATGGTCGGCGGCGCCAGGATGGCGTCCTTCTCGGCCCAGAGCTCGGCATCCCGCCAGCAGTGACTCCGGCGGTAGATGCCCTCCACCCCGTTGATGACCACGTCCGAGGGCAGGCTGACGACACCGGCGCCGCCCGCGACGCCGAACCAGCTGCGGGCGGCCTTGCCGTCGTTGTGGATCCAGGGGGCGCCGCCGCGCGGGGCGATGCAGCAAAAGTACTCGACGCCGTCGGTGTACTTGACATCCTGCACGTCGACGACGAGCAGGGGCAGCGACTGGATGACGCAGTAGAGGAAGATCCACTGGCCGCAGCGCAGGTCGATCAGGTCGTTGAGGCTCTTGCCGTGGGCGGAGCGGCGCTCGAACTGCATAAAGGCCTCGATAAAGGGCGTGGGGCGCAGGCTCTCGCGGGTGTAAGAGCCCATGAGGACGGCGTTGATGTCGGAGTCCTTGAGCTTCTTGGTGCGCTTCTTGGCGTCCTTCTTGGGGTCGAGCGGCTTCCGGTAGAGCGGCTGCAGGGTGGGGTAGAGCGGAATGTCGAAGGGGATGGGGGGCAGGACCGGGGGCGTGCTGCGGTCGTACTCGCTCTCGACCTGGCGCAGGGCGCGGTTCATGACCTGCTCGGGGTCGGCGCCGTCGAGGCTCCCGTCGGAGCCGGCGCCGGCCATGTCGATGGTGCGGGTGGTCAGGTTGTTGCGGTCGACCATCATGTCGTAGAGGCCGGCAAAATCGTCGTACAGCTCGGAGAGGACGCGACGGTTGAGGCCGCTCTCCTCGAACTGGTTCTTCTTGGAGCGGGCCTTGGGGGGCCAGGAGCCGTAGCGCTGGCGGTAGTACTGCATGGTAAAGCGGCGGAACTCCATGAAGCCCGCCTTCCAGGTCTTGAAGCGGATGACCTTGCTCTCCATCGAGGTGGCCGAGTTGGCGATGCCGGAGAAGACCGAGGGGAAGTCAAAGTCGTCGAGCTTGCTGTAGAGGACGCGCAGGCGGGTGTCGAGGTCGATGAAGCCGCGCTCGAGGCGCTTCTGGGTGACGGGGCTGATGAGGCCATACTTGGGGCTGCGCAGCTGCTTGAGCTCGTCCAGCTTGCCGACACCGTGCACGAAGCCCTCGAGGTAGAGGGGGAAGAAGCGCAGGCGCTCTCCCAGGACGATGGCCTCGATGGTCTTCTCGCGGCTCTTGCGGACGTCGTCGAGGCGCAGCTCGTCGCAGTAGTTGCCGAAGCTGGTGGTGGCGGTCTCGCCGAAGTTGGTGCCGTCGAAGTTGGTGAACTCGAAGCGGGCGAGGAGGGTGGCGACGTCCATGAAGATGGAGAAGAGCGAGGGGGAGCGCGGGGTGGCGATGAGCGACTGCCCCATGAGAAAGGCGAAGAGGTTGCGGAAGAGGAGGAGGGTCTCGGTGTCGTCCTGGGCGAGGCGGGCGTGGGGGCTGGTCACGTCGCTGTTGAGGGGGATGGGGAGGTAGAGGTGCAGCTCGGGGTCATCGGGGCCGTCGTCGTCGTCGAAGGCCATGCGACGACTGCCCGAGCTGTCATTGTCGTCGTCGGCCAGGCGGTCCTGGGGACCCAGGGGCGGCGAGGCGTAGCCGGCGGCGGAGTTGCCGAACGAGAGGGTGCGGGTTTGTTGTTCGAGCGATCGGGCATCGGTGCCGCGGGCGAGGAAGTTGAGAGAGGGCGATTCGGCAAAGACGGTCGAGTGGAGTTTGAAGGAGGGGGGGCGGCCGGCATTCTGGGGGAAGAGATAGACGTAGGTGTCGCCGGTTTCGTTCCACAGTTCGGGGACCTGCTCCCCCCTGGCCAACGGTTCCAGGTTGTAGAGGATCTTCTGATCCAGGCCGGCGATCCAGGCACTGGGCAGCTGGGGGCTCACGGGCAGCGAGCGGGTATCCACGGAACTGGCGCGCTGACGACCGGGGATCCAACTGCGTCGCTTGGAGGGGGTGCCCGGGCGGGAGTCCGGGGCGGTGCCGGGGACGAAGAGCCCCGCGGCACTGGCGGGGCGGTTGCTGCTGCTCCTCCGGCGGCCGCGGCTCTGAGGACGATCGGGGGAGTTGGGGGCCGAATCGGCCAGATCCTGGTTGACGTCGAGGAGGGAGGGGGGGAGCGGCAGGGGGCCATCGAGGGGCATGTCGTGAGGGCCGGGGGAGCGGATAGGCATGGGTTCGCCAACATCGTAGGAGGGGTTGTAGCTCGAGGTGAGGCGGGCGGGACGGGATGAGCTGCGGCGTCGTCGTTGATCTTGGGCGAACTGATCGGGGGAAGGTTTGGTGGGCGGGACGGGGGAACGAGGGGAAGAGGGGGAGACGGAATCATCACGGTTGGGATTGGAACCCAAGGAGAAGAGGGAGGAGATCCGCTTGGCGGATTTGACGGGGGCGGATAGCATGGCTGAATTATTAGTGAAAAGAAGGAAAAGGAGGAAAGAAGCGAGAGGGAGAAAGGAGGAAAGGAAGAGAGAGAAAGAAGGAGATGGAGGCCGGCCAAGGACAGCCGTGAAGATGGGGGAGATTAGGGGAAGGAAGAAAAAGAAAGAGACATGAGTTGGAGAGGAAGAGAGTGTAAGGGGAAGAAAGAGAGAGAGGAAGAGGAAGAGAGCGTAGGGGGAAGAAAGAGAGAGAGAGGAAGAGAGTGTAGGGGGAGGAGAGAGAGAGAGAGAGAGAGAGAGAGAAGGGAAGGAGAAAGAGTGAGTAAGGAAGAATGTGAAGCAAAATCCACCAGTTCAGTCAGTGTTGGTCTTACCTGGCAATCAATAAAAACAAATAACCAATCAGATCATATAATGGAAAGATATAAATAACCAGATCGGTAGACAATCAATAAAGATATAAATATGTAGAAGAAAGCAATAAAAAGAAAACCAAGAAGAAATCAGAAAGAGAACGATCAGTCACCTGTTCTCCTCAATCCCATGAACTGAAAAGAGAGAGAGAGAGAGAGAGAGATGATGACAGTGTTGGAATGTGGATGTCGGGGAACGGATCGGCAGGAGGGATCCGAAGAATGGATCTTAACAGTCAGGATAATAACCCTGATGATGGGATCCAGAGATGGGTGATAGACGGGAAAGATATGGACGAGAAGTCAAAAGAGAAAGTAGAAGTAAAAGAAAGAAGGAAAGTCCAAGGTCGAGTAAGTAAAGCGAGTGGTGAATCCCCTGGTGGAGACTGAACTGGAACCTCAGGAGATGGAGTGGAGGTGGTGGATGCCACGAGATTCAGACCATGGCTAGTGATACGATCGATTTAGAGGATTGAGATTGAGGTCAAGTCTGGAGTCCTGAGTAGATCCGAGTCTCTCATCATCAGGATAGTAATCGCCCAGAGAATCAAGAGAGAAGAGAGAATAGAAGAAGGAGAAAAAGAGAAAGATGTATAGAAAGTGTCTGGTGTCCGATCTTGGCGGAATTATGCTTCATAACTCTCATGGACTTGTTTTTTATCCTCCCATTCCATCTTTCTGTTTTCTCTTTTTTTTTTCTTTTTTTTTCCTCTATTTTCTCTATTAACTTTACTCTGTTTTACTGCCACTTCTTACTTATTTTTTTTAGTTGTATTTTCCATGGTTGAATTTTCCTTCCATCTATTCTTACAGACAAGGTTGCATCCTTCTCCTCCTGACTGGTTCCTCCCCAATCCTCCAGTGGGTCCCCTGACTCTCATCTCTCTTTTCTTCTCATTTTTCTTCCTGGTTTTTCAACAAGGCTGTGGTGCCAGCTCAACCCCGAGGCTGTACTCTATCTGATCATGGCTGTGTCTTCGATTCCTTATGGACGGTGGTCTCCATTATTCATCATCTGTACGGAACTATACCTATAATACAACAGGGATAATACCCTGTCCTCCCGGAATCGTGGGTCCCTTCAGGAGATGCGTGTTCACATCCGACAGCCTACCTGTTCGGAGGCCGGTTTTTGACTTTCCTTTTCATTTATTTAATTCTCTCGTTTTCTGACCTTGATAATCAATATCATAATGATATAAATAATCGAAACAAACACTCCCAACCCAGACAAGGCGCACATCTAAAAATAGTCCCCTCCATAATCCTCCGTCCAATATCATCTAATACCATCAATATCATCGGTATCATATAATATAATACGCATAGTACCACCTCGGATAATAACCTACAGGAAACATATCAGATCCAAGCCATCCGCGCGTCGACCCATCTGACGTGTCTGCTCGGTAGGTACGAGGTACCATGTAGGTACCGAGAATATCCCGTCCGAGGCAAGGCAGCAAGGATGGTTGCCGCCGAGTGTATGCGGGCTCAGTCCTCGACTGCTCGGAGGGGTACCCTACTTACGACTTTCTACTTCATTCGTAGATGGTTGTGTAGAGCGTCATCATAATGAAAACGCTAATTTCAATTCAAGTAAACAAAGATCAGAGGGTAGGTAATACACTACTTAGTTAAGAAAGAGCAAAAAGAAAAAGAAAGAAGAAAAAGAAAGAAGAAAAAGAAAGAAGAAAAAGAAAGAAGAAAAAGAAAGAAGAAAAAAAGAACGTCCAGGGTGAGGCTCGAACTCACAACCTCTCGATAAACCGTTGTTTAACAGTCGAACGCGCTAACCAGTTGCGCCACCCAGACGAGCTGTTATTATGGCGTTTGATATTACCCTACATGTACCTCTTGACATATTCTGTATTCGCCACTGCCTAGTGTGTTGCCCCTCTAATTATATGAAACCACAAACAGACTGAGACATTCGACAGATTTTTCTAGGACTAGTAGGACGAGGTTGTGTAATGTTGTATAATGTGGGTAGTATACCTGAGTGGTATTCTCAGTGGTATTCTGAGTGGTATTTTGAGTGGTATTCTTGAGGTGGTGTATTCCATCTGGTTAATTATTCTATCAATCGGTTGTTTATAGATATCAATTGTATATCCTGATATCCTGTCCGGTATATTCTCTATACGGAACAAAACACTTCAGGCCATCGCAATTCAACATATCAACTATAAATCCAGTAAACCCTCACTAATATAGTAATGGTCAATGCTCGCACAAGCTAAAATTCCCCCTCTCATACTCCCGATTCTGCTCCTTCCCCTTCGCCCCCCTCTCCGCCATCAACTCCAACCGATACGCCCTCGCCCGCTCCCCACTCATACACCCCCTCTCATCAACCAACCCCCCCATAACCATCTCCCTCAACTCAACCGGCAAACTCGGCAACACGCCCCTCACCAAGGCCGCCCGCTCCCGCGCCCACTCCACCTGCTGCGGCGGCACATTCGCCGTCGAAATCACCCGCCGCAGCGGATCGACCAGGAACAGCGCGAGGATCTTGCGATGCCCGCGCCGCGACCGGTCCGCCAGCTCGAACGGCGCCACCCGGTGCTGCACCGTGTTGGGGAAGGTTAAGAGCCGGCCGGCTGGGCAGAGCACGCTGCCGAGGTCTTGAGTGAGGTTCTCTCCCCCGTAGTCGCCGGATACTTCGGGTCCGAAGCCGTATACCGCTTGGATGAACTCGTGGTGGCTTTGTTCGTAGTTGACGCTGTCGAGTTGGGCGGCACGTTGGCGGAAGGAGAGCCGGCTTTCGGTGATGTTGGAGCTGTCGTAGTAGTAGATGGCTGTTGCGCAGATGCGTTCGTTCTGGATTGTCAGTATTCTCTTGCTTTCTCTATTTTTTATTTTTTTTTCTCTATTTCTTTCTTGCTTTCTTGAGAGAGAGAGAGAGGAGGGGAAACTCACCAACTGCCCCTCAATATGCCACGACCCCCCACCATACTCCGGCTTCTCCGGCCCAAGCTCAATATTCGCCAACTTGACAATAACCTGCAACCCCTCCTCGCGGAACTTCTCCCGAAGAGAGACACTCTCAAACGGCACAGGCGGACGGAAGTCCCCCTCCGGCTCAGGCAGCTTGATAGGCCTCGAATGCGACCACTCGCACCAGCGATCACCGAACTCATCGCTGTCCTCCTCTTCCTCGTCCTTGGCTACCGGCTCCGGCGTGTCGCGCGCCACGTACTCCACCTCCCTGTAGGGGATTCTGTCGCGCCGATACCCGTGAACGGCGGTCAGACTCTGGTCCCAGAGGGGGATGGCGCGCGCGAGGACGCCCTCGATGGCGCTGTAGAGCGCGCGGTGCTTGAAGGGGGCGAGGTTGTTGATGTAGGACGTTATGCGGCATTCGCTGTCGCTGTCGGGTGTGAAGCGGACTTCGCACGGCAGCCACTGGAACTTGGTGCTGAAGGCGTTACCGATTTCTGATGCGAATGGCCAGAGGGCGGGGTCGAGGGTCGGCGTGGGGATGACTTCGCCTTTTCCGGCGCTGTCGAGGCAGTCGGCTAGTGACAGCGTGCAGTCTGGGAGGATGCGCGTGCGCCCGTAGACGAGGGGGTAGAGCGATGGGTGAACGAGGTCGACGACCTTGTTGTCTGAGCCTGGGTGGTAGTCCTTTTGCTCTTCGGGGATGTTCTCCAGCGGGGCGACTGCGTCGCGCAGTGCTTGCTGGAGGTCTTCTGGGATGGCGGTGTCGGAGCGCACGACGCCCATGTCGAAGACTTGGAGGAGTTTTTTCTCTTTGTAGACGTTGGCTTTCCATTGCATTTCTTGCACGATCCAGTCGAGCATTTTGGGGGTGACGTCTAGGTTGGATTTGGCGATTTCGTCGCGCCATTTGGAGGTGATTTTTTCGTCGTATACCTTTCTTGGTCAGAAGGTCGAGACTTCGAGGGTCTGGGCTGTAAGGAGGGATACCTTGTGATACCACATAGGTTTCTCCGAAATGTGGTTCATGACATCCATCATGTTGAGTTCTCGCTGGACGTAGATCCGGCTGCGACTGTTATTCTTCATTCTGATAAGACCGGTCTCAGATACACTCACGAGGCGTCCGCATCATGGTCGCGCGAATCTAATGCATTGGGGAACAGTTTCGGGGAGTCATAATGGGTGTTCTTCTAGATGTCAACTTGGATGAACCGATGGAGGTGGAGGGGGAGGAGACACGATGCGACATACGGTTTCCCCGTGGTTTAAGGAATGGGAGTATCCTCGTAGGATGGGCGCGTCATTGTTGGAACCCATGTCGCAGACTGTTCTCTAGTGTAGATAGTCGACCGTAGATTATTTTGCGTTGAAAAAAGTAGAGTCGTCGTTCACTTTATAAGTACCTTCAAGAGAACAGAACAAATCAGGCAACGGTTAAGGCACCCGCCGCTAACTTCTTCTTCTTCTCTCGCGGCTCGTATAAGGATCGCTAGGCAGTAGGCAGGACGTCCAGGCAAGAAATCAAATCTAGTCAACAACCGTGGATCAACAGGCGGTCTTGGCCTGATAGGTATGCGTGTGGAAGAGTAGCTCGTGTGGGTTCCCCACCTCTGACAGAACCCATTCGGCTTGATATACGACATCTTGTTGACGGAGCTTGCCGACCCCACTTCCCCATAGGGTTAGATATACTCGTATTCTATACAATCCAAGCAGAGGTCGGCTTTTATGAAAGAACTGATTTGTCCATTCTCCTACTTGCTACGGTAGTAAGGAGTTGCAATACGAGGTGATTGTCAATTCTAGTCGTGTTTGTCTGCTGAACACTTATAGAGTCTGAACTCAATTGGATACTATGATATGTTTGAGCTTCGTCCGTAAATGCGACAGTCACTTGGTCCTTCTACACAAATAAAGTGTCGCCCCGAACACAGCGTCTCTTACAGAGGCCTGGAGCTCGAGCCCTGGCTAGCCTTTCTTGGTAGAATTCAGCTATATATTCTAGGTTCAAACAGATTTTGCGGGGTTTCACCATAGAACCCCCACCGAACCCTAACAAGACGGTTCCTACCCGCCCTGAATCCGCATCGAACCGCACTGAATGCCATCCTACTATGGTACATCGTTCTATGTCTTGGTTTCCTTTTCATCCAAAAGCCGAATAATCTCGGCCCTTTCATCTTTCCATTTGGTCTCGTCCAGCGTTGACGCCAATTGTCGCCCTGTTTTACCCTCGGAGTCCTGGATCGAAATATCAGCACCTTTTTCAAGAAGCATTTCTACGGCTGTCGTAGAGGCGCGAAAAACTGCTTGATGGAGCGCTGTTCGACGCTGTACGCCGGCAGTCTCATTCAAGTTGATATCTGGATTCTGAAGAAGGAGGTCCAGAATGGTTTTCTGATCCGCGACTAAGGGTCCAGCCCATTGAGCCGCGGCCAGGAGGAGGGGCGTGGCACCAGCTTGGTTTTTAGCGTTGACGAATGCGCCCCGGAAAAGCAACAGACCAACGGCCATGGGGCTCCCTCGTCGTATGGCAAGGTGTAACGGACTGTCGTGCCCATGCGGTGCGTAGACATTGACATTGGTCTCTTTCCCTCCTCCTCCTCCGACGAGAAGGCATGCTAGCGCATCCAGTTGGTGCTTCTTGAGGGCATTATTCCCTTGGATGTCGAAAACACTCAAAATCGGTCGTTTGCCAGTATAGTCAGACTTGTTTGTGTCAGCTCCCCCGTCGATCAGATCTCGGACGAGACTCGTATGGCCGGCGAAAAAGGGTTGTTCGATTGCGATCTGCAAGGCAGTGCGTCCAGTCCTTCGCTCAGCGACATTCAAGTTGACGTCGTGATTCATCAGCGCTTGGACGCACTTGTAGTGCTGATATGTACCACCCTGGATGGCTCGGAGTAGAGGCGTTGGTCGCGGTTTGGACTCAGTCCCTGGATTGCACCCGTCCTTTAGCAGGGTTCGCACAGCTTGCACGGTCCCTTCGGTACAAAAGCCCTCGAGAATATGTTGGTCTCGATCTATCCATTTCCACCACCGCTTTCTGCGGTTGATTGGGACAATTCTGGTGTCCTGTGTCGAAGCGGCCTCCCAGGTCGTGCTCATATACACCTCCGGACTGAAGACAGATATCAATGAGTCTTTCTTCGTGGTCGTCTGTTTTGCACTTGTTAGGAGTGCCTGTTTGTGGAGAGACATCGAGCCTTTTTTAAAGCGGGCTTTGGCCGACTGCTCCTTGGCGGATGATGCTTGATCTTCTGTTTCGGGTTTGGATGCTGTCGTGTCGCTCTGCAGTATTCTTAGTGTCGCACTTTCATCAACCTGTTCCCTGGATTGATTTTTCTTTTCTACTGGTGGTGATATGTGCAACATCTCTCCTGAGGGTCTATTGGTCCGTTTATTTTCAGGTCTAGGTCTTCGAAGGAGGTCCGGCTCGGATTTTGGTGCTCTTTGCAATGCATTTCCCTGTACCCTTTCGATGCTTGCATCATTTTTATGGTTCAAAGAAGACCCCTCATTATCGGTCATCTGCACCTGCTCGTCCAGAGCGTCATCAGTGCTTTCATATGCTGGCTGTTCTTCATATGCCTTGGTCTCCCTCGACCATGCCACCGTTGCGTCGTATTCACACCAGGTAGTCACCGAAGCAGTCTCAGATTTGCCTTGAGTACCAGTGGAAGTCAACGGTGGAAGCTTGATTATCTCTGTCGATTGTGCCGTCAAGAATCTGTCTTCGATTGGTGTTGTTGTCATTTCCTGCTTAGGTGACAAAGATACCACAGACTCTTCGTCTGGATTGAACATCGATGAATCAAATCCCCTCTGTTCTTGGTAGTAGGGGGTGCTAATCGATCTCTCTGTCAACGGAAGGGGCGGAGGCAAGTCAAACGACTCAGCGCATCCCCAAATAGTGTTGGAAGATGGTAGCATGTTCGCTGGAAACTCCGGTTCTCGGGTCGTTGTGCCAGTCCGGCCATCATCCGCCCAAACATTGAACTCAGCTTCTGCAGGTGGCCATATGTTCCGTGATTGAAAATCATCGACGTATGCCGCGCCAATCTCCGCTTCACGTTTGTGCGCTTCACCTTGGACGGTGAGGCTCTCAAGGGGTTCTGTGTTGTCTTCCAACGGAATAGTTGTCTTCTCTAACTCACCATCGGCCTGTTCGCTATGCGACTCGATGGTGTCATTCAACGACTGGTAACTGCCGGTGATAGATAGCCCATCAAGCTGCACCATTCTTTCCTCGTCAGAGCTCTCTGCAGAGTAATACGTCGAGTTGTCCTCCACTATTCGGATAGGAACCTCTATATCCGAAGACTCTGCTGTGCCATTAACGCCCATGGAGGTCAAATTCATGTCGTCGTCAGCAACAGTGTCCAGCCAGTACTCGATGGTCTGGTTTTTCTCCTGTTCGCGGGTTCTGTCGACTGGGGGATCCAGTAACGCAGTGAGCTGAGCTTGCACGTCCGCCGAGTTCCCCGGGGCAGAAGCATTGTTGTCTTGAGGTTGCTGGGTATAAAGAAAGGAACGTTGCTCGTAATCTGGCCAGCAGTCAACACAACAGAATGCGTGAAAAGAGGGCGATTCCAGAATCTGCTTCATAAGGTCTCTGGCTTTCGGGCGCTTATTTGGTCTCTCTTGCAGCAGATCTCGGACCCAGGATAGTGGCTCGGTGCTTTCATCTCGCACTGCTGCGCAGCGGGTAAGCTCCTCAATCCATGTATCGATCACTGGAAGATTAAAACACAGGTACGGCTCGGCTTGACGGGGATTTGAAAAGTCACGCAGCAGAGATTTCAGCCTCCGAACGGTGCTGCCCAACAGCACGGTAGACATTTCTAGGAACACCACGCCCAATGACCACATATCGCTGGCGGTACTGCGGCTCTGGTGCAGCGCGATCTCCGGCGCCATGTACTCGGCCGTAAATGGGACATTGCGATGATTGGTGATGCTCTGTCTCGAGCCCTTCCAACTATAAGCGGTTCCGAAATCAGCCACAAAGACTTGACCGTCCTTGACGAGGATATTCCGCGACTTGAGATCCCGATGGCGGATCTTGTTCTCGTGCAAGTACTGAATCGCTCCTGATAGGCAACCGAAGAATGGTCGCAAACATTCAGCACCCGTTCCCGCGCGGCCTAAGTTCTTCAACAATGTCTCCAGATCATAGTCGGCCATGGGCTGCATCAAGAATGCAATATACTTCTCGTCGGTGTATGACGAAACATATCGAACAAGGTGAGTATGAGACAGGGCTTTGAGATACGATAACTCCCGGATTAGAGACGCTTGTCTTAGCTTGTTGGTCTGGGTATCTCTTCCGCGCAGGACGCGTTTTCGCGCATATGATTGGAGACTCAATCGGCTAGTGACGGCGTCGACTTCTCTGGTTCGAAAGCAACGAAAAGGCGATCAATTGATGTCAGGCGCAAGTCGACACAAAAACCACAAAAGCGACTCTTGGGGAACTCACCCATATCCACCCCGACCCAGCGATCCCTTGTAGTAAAAGTACTTCTGCGCATTCCCCGCAAAGCTCAGGTGCGGTTCACCACGGTTATCCAAACCCTTTGCCCCCGAGGAAAGCACGTATGGTTGAAACTGCAGGAATGATTCTCGGAGGCCAGTCTCTCGCAGGAAAACTGGCAGAGTGTCCTCGTTAAACGGAATATGGAAGTCCGTCAACTCGGCCTTCACGAAATAGTCCAGCAGATCCAACCGCTGAATGTTCCGTAGAACAATATATATTCGCGGTCGCTCGCTCCATGCGAGTAGTCGCTCATCGCCGCTGGTTTTGCCTTTCTTGAGGAGAATGTCGCTGATCTCGTTGCATCGTTGGACACTCACACTGCGAGATACAGCAGAGTTGGTCGCGGATGCTGGCCGACACAAGCGAGCCAACAACTCCTCTACATCAGACTCGTCTTTCGAACCGACAGCAGACGGGCTCGGTGGGGGTGCTCGTCTCCCAAAGACCCCTTGCAATAGTCCCATGGGTCTTAGTGGAAAGGATTGGGACATGGTACATCGGGTCTCTCTACCAGCTGGCCCGGCTATCGAGCGGACATAGAAATGTTAACAACGACTCTTGGGTGTCTAGCCAGAATGAAATACGAATCTCGACAGACAAGGCTATCGATTATCAAGCGGGGTATGAGGGCTTCAGCCCCGCGATTCTTAGGACATGACGTGGCGCTTAGCGCTCAATCGCTCAATCTCGTTTCCTCGAGGAGTCCCAGCCTGATTATAATCGGTCCATTTCTTGCGTGACGCGATCATGGAGGTGCTTGGAACAGTTGTCGGCGTTGCACAGGTATTTGAAACATGCATCAGCACATATAGGCTTATCTGTCTTGCAAACAACGTCGGTAAAGATGGCGACCAGATCGTGTCGCGGCTGCAATGGGAATATTATCGCCTCATACAATGGGGCAAAAGATCCGGAATTGAATCCAATTCCCCTTCGAACAGAGTCAACTGGGAGGTTGCCAGGTCTCTGTTAGAAGAGCAACAGGAGTTGTTGACCTCAGCTGAAAAGCTCAAATCTAAGTATAATCTCGACATTGACGATGAGGTTTTAACCGCCACAAAGTTTGACGAAAAGGCTGCCGAGACTTCCTCTAGCTTGACCAGATTTCTGCGTCATCTCACAGCAGCAGAGTCAGGTAGCCTTCGAGCGAGGGCCATCCAAAGCCAGAACAGTCCTCTTCGACGTCTTCGTTGGGCTAGTACGGGGAAAGACAAGACAGACCGTGTGGTCACCGACATCGCAGAGTTGAACGACCGACTGGATTACCTTTTGGATTCAGTTGATCGCGAGAGACTCAATGCCGCGTCAGAGTCGTTGCTCAGAGATCTTATCACACACTGTAACAACCCGAACGAAGTGAATACCATCAATGCGCTCTTGAATCCTTCAATCTCAGACTCGAACCAGGCTCTCGCTGCAGCCGCATCTTTGCGACAGATCCGTTTGTTGCTAGCGCCGCCCAGGGGCTCAGAGCAAAAGTCCGAGCCGCGAGGTGCTCTGCAACTCCTGGAGCTTCGCCCCCGACGTCTGACTCCCGAGGACTCGACGCAGTCCTTGAAATACGCGGGTATCGAGCCCGCGGTATACAACGGACAGAACGTCATCGTGGAGTGGAAATTCACCGAAAATCCAGGATGGGATCAGCTCGCCAAATATGTCCGCCGACTAGCGCTGCTCTTGAGTAAAATGGATGATCCGTCATTCCATACTCTCCCATGGCAGGGGCTATTACCATGGCGTGAAAGATCGCTGTTCGGTTTTGTGTATAGATATCCCGTTCCAACTGAGCAACTCAAGGGCTCCTTTCGTTACGAACTCCTGTACTCCGTGATCCAAAGTTCTGCAATCGCCCCGTTAAGCCACCGCGTGAAGATCGGAAAAGATATGGCAGAGACGGTGCTCCAACTTCACACCGCGGGCTGGTTACACAAAGGAATTCGATCTGAAAATATCATCGCATTCTTCGCTCAGAACGAAGAAATCCTTCCAGAGAAAGCTCATCTCGTCGGATTCGAATATGCCAGACCCGACTCTATGGATGGTTTAGCCATAACTCAACTCCCCGGTGGTTCTCTTGGAGCGGACCAATATCGACACCCAAGGGCGCGGGGAGCTCATCGGAAATCATATCGGAAGGCATTCGATCTTTACGCACTAGGCTGTGTTCTTCTTGAGCTTGCGCTGTGGAAGCCGCTGGCGGCGATACTTGCCGAGACCTATCCCGCAACTGATTATGATAGAAGACACTCGAATGGGAGCCCCATGAACGGAGCCCGAGTGCCATCACTGCTGTCATTTCAGACATGCACATCGTTGCAGGTGCTTGTCACGCATTTTGCAGGTAGCATGTTTTGCGATGCTATTGCGCTTTGCTTTGAAGATCGGGCGTTCGATGAGAATGGGCTGGATAGACAGAAGGCAGTTCTAGAAAAGTTGGCCAAAATCAGTGTATAATCTTAGAGAGACAAGCCGGTAAAAGCTTCAAACAGGGAGTTTTTTTTTTCTCCGAAAACCCTGCCGCCTAAGCACCTAATCATTTAGTACAGAGGCAATACGCCCGCAAACGCAATCTTGAAGAATCTGGGGAGGTTTATCAGCAACAATGTGCAACGATAGCGGTATCAACAAAGGAAGCAATGTCTGCCATAGCAGGAAGACTCTGAATTACAGTGGAACCAGTTATGCCAGCTTCGTACATCCTTCGGTTCGTATCAACATGAAAGTAGATGAGGACAGTGTGTTGATGGCTTCGACCGAGAAATAGAATTGTCACATAGTTTGCGGTCTCTCGCTGTCTGGTATGGCCAAACGACCAGCTTGCGTAGTCTGACCTGATTTTTAGGGGCTATTCCCTTGTTGAAATAGTATTGGACCATGCTATATGAAAAGATCTAGATATTTATTTTACTACTTTTTTATCTTTATATTATAAGCTTATAATAATATATATTTCTAGATTATATTATTAGTATAGTTTAAATAATCTAAGTAATGATAAGATATTAAGAGATTAAATAAATAAAAAATCTATAACAAAAAAAGAAAGACTAGAAAGATTTCAATAATTAGTTAAATTTAGTTCCCCACCTCTGACAGAACCCATTCGGCTTGATATACGACATCTTGTTGACGGAGCTTGCCGACCCCACTTCCCCATAGGGTTAGATGTACTCGTATTCTATACAATCCAAGCAGAGGTCGGCCTTTATTTAAGAACTGATCTGTCCATTCTCCTGCTTGCTACGGTAGTAAGGAGCTGCAATACGAGGTGGTTATCAATTCTAGTCGTGTCTGTCTACTGGTCATAACAAAATCCGGTTTCAATTTGTTTTCCAAGTATAAAGATAGAATGAACTACGTCAACATGCAGGCATCTAGTACCTTAATCCATACCCCCGTAAACAGAAACGCTCTGGAAGAAGTTTACATCAGTCGGATATCCATGGCGCCAGTGACATCCTTGATGTCTTCAAACACATCCTTGATGTGTTGGAAGTAAGCCACATTCACCCGCATCCCCCCAGCCACGAGAATTCCTACCACATCCCCACCGGAGTTGAAGACCAATGATCCCGAGTCCCCTGGTTCTGCAAAGGGGCCCCCATCGGACGGGGTGACCGAGTGCTCTTCGGTTTCGAGGGTGAACTCCTCCCCATTTGGCCCCCTTTCGTTAGTGATGCGTATCGGCCTAAGCCCACCATAGATACCCTCTGTCACCCGAGTCGATCGCCCACTTTTGATGAGGGTCTGAAGTTCCTCTGGCTTGCGCGAAGTGACGAGCCCCATCGTCTCGAAGGGGGGGGTATTCTTGCCCGTAGGTGTGGACCTATACAGCCGTCAGTCCCTGTCTGACGAACATGGTGAGAGAAGAAGGTGTCTTAAGGAAGTACATACATTTCTTTTGCCCAGCCGCTTCGGTGCTATTTGGATGAGGGCCCAGTCACGGATGGAAGGCATGGCATCCTCCCGGCTGCGCCTGGCCCGGTAAAAACCACTTCCAAACACAACATGCCCAAGATAGCATCTTTCCGGGACCGCAAATCTTTGCAGAAGTGCGCGGGAGCTCCGATACATATCCAGGAGGGCTCTGCGTCTTTTGTAAAAATCACGCTCCTCGTCGGTCACATAAACTTCGTCTGATCCTTGGTCGGCCAGGTCAATGGGCCGCATCAGGTCCATTAATTGGTCGTTTTCATCAAAAGCTATTTCCCTAGTGAGGCGATCAATATTCGCCTGTAGATCGTACACACTAGGCCAGTCAAGTTGGAGGATTTCTCTTGCCGCGGTATCGGATTCCGTGACGGGGGAGGATCCCATCCCTCTCGAGTGCTACTCATACGATATAAGCCAGTATAAGAGTTTTGACTGCGATTTGGCTCACCTTTCTGGGCCCCTTCTTCACAGAGTAGCCCCTCACGAAGCGCAGGAGGTGGATCAACGGAATGAAAGCATGTTATCCCGTATTGCTTCTATGGCCGGCCGGTCAATAACAGCTCAACGTAACCCCCGAACGTCGACTATCCCGTTGAGCTATTTCCCTTCCCTTTAGTTACTCCAGGCAGGGCCTTTTCGCTGATTGCAGCGTCGTCCAGGTCAGCCAGCCCGAAAGGATCTTCCAGATCGGCCAGCCTGGAATAATCAACGAGGTTTTTGAACTCGTCTTGCAGAAAGATAACAGCGGTGGTCGTCTTCCCGAATGAAGCCAGGATAGCTTGTATCTTGCTTTGGGAAGACAAGAATCGCTTATACGCAAAGTAGCACACTATCAGGATGACGGTAACAGGGGGGTCTACTGTATGGATTCCATAGCGATAGCACTGAAGGAATGTCCATTGGCTGGCATGCCCAACCTTTTTTGTTTTTCCATGAGTTGGGCCTAGTTTTTGTACCAGTGGCGATCGATTGGCAGGGTACGGGCCGGCAAAGAGCAGAGGTACTGCCCTCCGGTTCGCAATTTTGAGTTGTAGAAGTTTTCTACGGGGTCGACATCGCTGGTGATATTGAGATATATGACTTGTCCGAGGAAGATGAAGACCACGATAAACGATGGGCTGAGAGTCGAATGGCTGTGGATCCGGGCGAATATATTGAAGGCAAGGATGAGAGTCGGGGCATTATGCCTGACAGATGGTTAGCCTGGCTTCATTTATCATAGCTATACTAACTGAGATCTCGACTGAACAGGGGTACCTATTCTATCGGTGACAGAAATCAATCTCAGCCACTTCACCAAAAAGCCAAACGGCAGTTTGGGAGGGCTTGAACTGACTGATTACCCCGACAATGTTGAATAGAGAATGCTGGACAAGTGGACACATCTCAAACACAGGGAGCAGACCGGACAGAGAACGCTGTATTTTATGTCCTTTCTAAAAGTCTATTGTGAGTCACTTTACCATGAGAGTGATTAAATTCCGTTCACTCTTTGCTCATCTGCTCATTATAATGACACTGTTAGACGGAGTCTGTCCGATATGTCTTGGAAGGTTGAGGTTCTGTCCTGTCACTAGGTTTGAAATTGTTTCAGAGTGACAGTTTTGTGGCTTGATAGAAACCTTCAGCTATTCACTAGCCGTTCGCCTGGTTGATTAGGTAGAGTTGACGTTTCGGAGTATGGAGTCTCATTGTCACAGCATATACACATTAGGTATCGATACAAGCAAGTAATATCTAGGTACAACCTGTACCCTATAATATACACCACATACAAAACAGCGAGCTACCGCGTCTATAAAACAGCATACATTAGCATAAGACACCTCCTAGGAGTGGGGAGGGGGAAGTCTATCTCACCCTCAAATTCGCCGGAATAGTACTCTGATACCTCCGTTCCAAGCTCCTCGTGTCTGGATCATTCTCATCCTCATCGCTCTCCACTCTCACCTCTCTCGTCTGCCAAATCCCCTCGCGACTTCCCAGACTATCGGTATCGTCTCCTCGCGGCTTGCGGCGGTCGTCGAGAGGCAGGTCCGATGCTGAAGTGAGCGTCTTCGGGTTAGAACGGCGTGAGCTGGATGAGAGCGGGAAGGTGGATCTCGAGCGCGAGCTGCCGCTGTTTGCTGAAGTGGATTGGGCTACTTTGAAGATTCGGCGGAGGAGGGGATGGAAGGCGGGGACGCAGGCGGCGACTATGACGACGTTTTGCTCGATGCTGTGACAGAACTGGATTAGAAGGGGTGATGCGTGGTATATGGATGAAGGGTACTCACAGGCCCCAGAGGACCAACGAGACTAGATTATAGACTGTTTCGGACGATCATATTAGCATTTGTTAGATACTGTCGGGTCTTATAGAAATATGGAGGGGGGAAGGAATAGAAAAACTAACGAGGATCAACTTTATCCGTAAACAAATGCAAATACGTCGCCTTGACGACAGTCACCACGGCCGACATCAACGTCAACCCCATCATGACGCAGACAACCACCTTCTTCGAGTACGCCATCTGCAAATTCCAGAACACGCTGATGGGCACGGCCGCCAGGATGATGTCCGTTACTGTCGTGTACGCACTCACCCAGTACTGGAAGTCGTCGAACACGGCCGGATCCCAGCAGCTACCGGGGAGGTTGGGGTTCCAGAGCTTCTGGGTCGGATTGCACTGCACAAAGACGACGACGACGGAGATTAGGGCGAAGAGGACCTGCACGATGGATAGGCCGTAGAGGAAGCGTTTGCGGGCGATGTTTGGGTCCAGGAGGTTGCTGACGAGGATGGAGATGGCGATGTTGGGGAAGCTGAAGGAGCCGATGTTGAAGGCTGTGACATGTTAGTTTGGACTTGAGTATTGATGAATGGATTCGTACGAAATGCCAGAATCTGCCATTTGGCGGTTGTCACGGTTCGTGCCATGCCATGTTCTGCGACGACTGCGGCCGTGTGTCGACCGAAGCCCAGGGTGACCGAGTAGGAGACCATGGCCGTGGCGACGATACTGAGGATCTGGATACCTTAATCTCTCTTTCTCTCTCTCTCTCTCTCTCTCTCTATGTGTGTGTGAGGGTGACATACCAGCGAAAATACAATAAAAAAATCATCCCATCCCACCCTCTTCACAACCTGCACACGAGCATAGAGCCTGAGAAACACCGCAACAATGGCCACTCCGGTAAACACCCACCCGACAATGTTGACCTCCGGTCCACGGGTCTCACTGAAATCCACATTGGTGTTGAGGGCTGCCATTGTGGACAGTGGACAGTGGACTAGCCCTAATCCGAATCATAGAAAGATATCTGGACGGGAATTGGGGGAGAAAGATCTCCATCATCCAGAAGCACCTAGAGAGAATAATAATACTTATGCAATCATCTTCCCCGGGAAATTTCTATCGAAGGATCAAAGATGTAAAGTTTAACTCCAACATCTGGTGTTCATCCGATCGGCTCCGTCGTCTCTGCCGTTCTCCTGCGTTGGTTGATTCCTTCGTGGTGCATTGGATTTGACCAAGGCAGGTACTAGACCGAAGGAAATAAACCAACAGGGAATCTCAATCATAGTATCGTAGGTAGTAATGAGAACAAACCCGAACTAAAGTAATCATATTATTCATAATGATCTAATCGTAATACTAAATGGCGAATCACGTTCTAAGCACTAAGGCACTAGTCTCAGCTTGAGAAGATAGAAACAAGTCGCTTCGAATCCTGATGGACTCTACCCTTGTCGAACTATGGAGTGCAGGATGGTAACTTGGTCAGTAGGCCATGTCGACCAATATACTATGCATCTAGTCTGGAACCGGCCGATTTGGGGAACGGCGGAATGCTATTTGGTCCCAACTTTAAGACCCACTGTGGCCCGTCTGAATCCACTGTCGTGAACTTAATTTTGCTTGGGACACTTTCTCTATAGGGGTGTCTGTCTGTCAATAGATTGGAAATCGATTCAAACTGACACGAAGGTGGAATTCAATAAAAGCTTCAACTGTACTGAATAAACCCAATCATTATCTACCCAAACAGTCGTACATATCATAAAAAAGAAAGATCAAGCCAACTCCGCCTCAATCAAACTCTCCGCAACCCCCGGATAAGAATAAATCTGAACTACCCTCAACCCAGCCTTCCCCAAAATTCCCCGCCACTCTGCCTCGGTCCGCTCGCGGACCGCGAAATGCGCTAACATCATCATGTCCATGCTCGTCGCCGCCAGCGTGGGTTTCTCCTCGCTCAGCACGATCTCATTGAGCAAGACCCGCGAGTAGCCCCGCTCCAACGCAGGGACCAGATTTTCCAGGATGCGAACCCCCTCGTCGTCGCCCCAGTCGTGGATAATAGAGTGGAGGAAGTAGGCGCGCGCGCCGCGCACCGGTTGCGGCGTGAAGAAGTCGTGCGCCTGCGCTTCGAAGGGTAGCGATTTTCCTTCGCTGCAGCTGGCGAGCACACCCGCGATGACGGGCTCCCGGTCTTGGAGAATGATGCGGCCCGGGTGAGAGGAGTGGTGAGCCGTGAAGGTAGCGACGTCGTGGCCGCGGCCGCCGCCGACATCGACGAGGAGGACGTCGCTGGTGGTCGGGGAGGCGTGGTAGCCGGTGATGAGGCGCTCCGCAACGGGGTAGAACCCGGGCTCGTGCCATTCGGCTTTGCCGGCGCGGTAGGCGGTCATGAAAGAGTCGAAGTGCTGGAGATGCGGGGGCGTTGAGACCAGCCATTCGAAAAAGGCGAGGTCGGTGCCGTGTGTGTCTTGGAAGGGTCCGTCGAGGGCGCCCAGCGCCGGCGGGCGGTATCCGGTTTTCTGGAAGTATTCGGGGAAGTTGTTGAAGGCGGGTCGGGAGACGTCGTAGCAGAATGAGAGGCTGTGTTGGTATCGCTCTTCGGCGAGGCCGTTGCTTAGTTTGGTTCCGTGGAATGCACCGTCGTGGAAGGTGACGAGATGCATTGTGACGAGGTGTCGCATGAGGCGTTGGAGGAGGAGCTCGTGCACTCCGGTCTTGTTGGCTAGGGTTGATGCGTCGAGTCCGGTATCTCCAGCGTCTTTCAGATGCTGGAAGAGCTGCACGTTGACGGCGATACGGACAATGGCTGACATGGCCGGCTAGCATCATTGTCAGCATGGGGACGCCCCAGAGGTTAACATCGTTTCGATGCGATTATGAATTTACCTCTGCCCAGAAGCTCCGCTGAACAAACTCGCTGGGGATTTCCAGCTCGCCGACCAGGGCGCGTCCCAATTCGATCAATGCTTCTCTCGAACCCGACCCATTCTTCTCGTAGGCCTTTCCAGCCAAGGCTATGGATTGGAGGATATCGGATACCGGGGATGCCATGGTTGTGGTTTCTGTCTTCTTTTCTCCTTCCTTCTCTCTCCAATGGGTTTCTGAGACATTCTGCAATGAGGGGCACAACATGTTTTTAAACGGGCCACATGTAAGCGTTATCGATAGACTGCATCCCTCCCTGACTGGCAGCTAGGACCGTTGATCACACCGTCTCCTTTTCATAGTCTGATCCTGCTATCCTTGCTGTTGGTCAATTCGTAGACGGACCGAAGGATCATTGGTCAGTCTAGGATTTAGAGGTCTTAGTCTGATAACGCTTGGCCCACTACGTCAGCATTGGTGGAAATTGGAAAGTATCCTACCCCAAATGACAATGACTCGCGACTTGGGGTCCGTACCGTTGGACGTATCGGCTATATCGATTCATTTCTTGATTGAGCTTCGTCAAGGCTGACTCGTGATTCTGCTTAATTTCTATCGACGTGAGCTCGTCTTTGCAGTCTAAACCAATGAAGACAGTGTTGGTTTGATAACAGTTTCAACCCCCAAATACCAGGTTTATTCTACTACCATCATACTCACGACCGCGACCCCCCCATCCTCCCCAACCAAGCCCTCAGATCAAAAACCCCATCCCTCAAATCCTTCCTGCTACCAGCATACACAAATGTGCACCCAGAATCCTGGGCCGGTTCCTTTCCATCTCGATAGTAGATACAGCAAGGATCAGCGCGGTAGTTAATTGTTTCGTAAAACGCCAACCGTTCCGCATGCTCCTCCTTCGTGACCTGGTAGACGGCGCCTTCCACCGTGGAGCCGGGCACGTCTACGAGAGCGGGGTATGGGCCCCATAGTTTGCACTCATAGCCCTCAACGTAGGCTGGTCGGAACTCGGGTTCGTGGTCCAGTTCCAGCAGCTCACGAACCAGGCAAGGATCGGTCAGTGTGCCGTAGAAAAAGTACGGTCCGGTCGGTGGTGGGCCTGTCGGACGGGGTATATGGTTCAAGAAAGTGTGGGGAACTTGTCGGAGTTTCAGGACGTATGGGGAAATCTTTGAGCGAGGGTCTTGAGGTGGTGGTGGGGGTGGGGGCGGAGGTGGATGGTCTCTGGATTCCATGTCTCCTGGTGAGACTGCAGATGGGGTCAAGTCTGGCACTCGGTCTGTTCGCATGGCACTTTCCAAATGGATGTGATCCATGAGTGGTAGGCTTCCAGTAAGTCCCACCCGATGGTGGTCCACCACAAGCTTGGACTGATATCGAGTTATTAAACCGAGCCTGTGGAACTGTCAAAAGTACTTTCTCTCTGAGACGAGGTTCTTGTCGACTATACCCAGTATCATATGCTGTACGGCTCGGATATGGATGGTGCTGGTGTGGGTCTCATGGTGCAATTCCACGGTCGGAGTCATTCTGACAGGCAGCAACAAGGCAAACAAACATTGTGGCTGAAGTCAGCCTCGGATTGTGTAACAATGGTCTACGGATTATACCTGCTTCGACTCGTGCTTCGTATTTATATCATTGTTGGTGTTGAACTCTTCAAGAATAACGGTCCAAAAAAGTAGAAAAGTAAAAAAGTAAAAAAGAACGTCCAGGGTGAGGCTCGAACTCACAACCTCTCGATGAACCGTTGAATTAACAGTCGAACGCGCTAACCAGTTGCGCCACCCAGACGACTTGTTGTGTTGGGCCTTCTTCCCGCGCTATTAGACGGGATGCCACTATATACCAACTAAATCGAGAAGGTTGTGGCGCTTGGACGCCATGATGCTCTAGCTCAATACCGATAGGGGAACCATTACGCCATTACTGCGTCTCCAGTTGCTTAACTCCTATTTTAGCCGTTCTCTATGCTGGCTACTTCCAGCTTTTCCAATTTTACCTTTTGATCTCATCTTCTGGTACACTTTTTGCCGACGTTAAGAATGTTCGGTCGGGCTTGCAGTGGATGTACGTAGTATATATATCCCGCCTACTATACTACAGTCGCTCATACTGGGCGTACCGGCATAAACATCCCACACGCTGTCGCCTCCTACACTCACTCTGATAGCTCATTCGTCAGTATACACAAGGAGGAATGATCACAGCCTCTACTCAGGTGTGCTTCGTGGCTGGAGCCAACCACCCCTCAGACATTACTGCTCGGCACAAGAAAGAAACCGAACGGGCGCATACGTCTGAATGAAACTCAACACAAGCCAGCTTGGCAGCTGCCATTGATTAAGGGTCTCAGGACCATACCCGACGAAGCACACATGAAAACTAGCTACCGCGAATCTACGCGACCATTGGGAATCAATCATACAGCAGTTCGTCGAGTACGTTCGAAGAGGAGCCCAGCCGTGAGGGATTGAGCAGCCAAGACGCGAGCGACAGCCTTTCGCAGATCATACTGTCACCAGAGCGACAACATTACTTGAACCAGGCACGCACGTTTCGCCCCAGACATAGAACATTTGGATAATCAATACTCTCCAAATTTTTTGTGTTCTATCTATCGCCGAGGCATGGAGACAAGACAGGCTCCAGCAACCCACACATCGACTTGTTCAACGGCTCGACTTGGGTTCAGGAAAGGAAATTACCTACTACCGAGACATCCACTGGTTGATATCACATACCATTCGACAAAAAAGGAACTCGCCGATCAAAGGACTTGCGCGAGCATATTTCGGTAGAGAAAAAAGAAAAAATGAACGTCCAGGGTGAGGCTCGAACTCACAACCTCTCGATACACTGCTGATTTAACAGTCGAACGCGCTAACCAGTTGCGCCACCCAGACGAACTGTGCTTGTTTCTAACCGAGCAGGATACAGATCTCAAACAGGTACGAAGATTGAAGCTGTTGTTTACTTACTACCTTTCATAGCGGGACAAGATATTCCTTACATTAGCATGGCCATAGAGGACGTGCCCTTGGTAGAGGCCTTCCCCTTAGGACAAACTGCAATTTTATATGCAATTGTCTTCAGGAAGGCAAAGCTAGTATAATTGTTAATTCCACTAATGTCCTCCAGACCGCTCTTAAAGAAAGCTGGGATACCCACGGCGGAATGCCATTGTTGAAGAATACTAAAATCAACAAGACTCCGGTCAAAGCGATTTCAATTAAGTACAGGCCAGGGATGCTCCATCCAATTGTTCGGGAATGACAAACACCATAATATGTGAGCCAATCAGGTAAGCTGAGAAGACTTGAAGTATGTACGATCTTTCGATGCCTGTGTTCCAATGCCTGTCAATCTAGGCCATACTGGAAGGTCTTTTCAATAGAGTATATATATATCCAGTGATTAATCTCTAGTATGTTACCACCCACTGACAGCTTCACCACGATCCTTCCCGAACTCCTGTACTCTCATATAACCTCTATCACTACCCCGTAGTCCACGCCTGGAAAACCTACAACATAGGCTGCCCTTTACTAACTTGAGTAGATCGAATTGCCAAATGTCAGTAACCATCCATAATATTGCACATAGAATGATGGTATCTACGAGACACAGTGCTGCGTCAGAGGCCGCTTCGACCTGTTAGATAATGCGGGACCTGCAGTGCTTCTCTAAGGATAGACTGAAAGTTGACATTCCCTCAGCCTGTGCCTTAAACTGGCTAGATATGATCAGCCGCCCAGATCAATATTCGTAATCAGGAATGACTTCTGCGCCAGACATCAGATATATAACCAGAGGCTTGGTCCGGATCATAAATGTCTACGTCCATCTATGCGTGTTGAACAGTGCAACTCAAGCATACCCAGAAATCATCTGCGCTACCTGTCACAATGAGACCAAAAAAGTGGATACCGACACGGAACAGCAATAACAAAATAAAGAATAAAAACAAAAAGAATCGTCCAGGGTGAGGCTCGAACTCACAACCTCTCGATGAACCGTTGTTTAACAGTCGAACGCGCTAACCAGTTGCGCCACCCAGACGAACTGTTGAAATACTTGCATTTCAACTTGCTTGATGAAGCAATGTACTTGTTAGTACGCAGTCTCCGCATTTAGCATGAATATCGGCCTAGCCCTCCGGTAACCTCCGTCCATCTCCAAACCCATCTCGACCACCAGAATAAAGACAAGAACCATGCAAGAAAAGAATATGGGCTCCAGCGACCAGAGTCAAGAGCCAATTAACCTATCCCGGGGTCATCCCAATCCGGGACTATTGCCCACCGCAGCCCTCACCGACGCCGCCACCAAAGCACTCTCAGACCCCTCCATCAGTACGCCCGCCTTGCTCTATGGCCCCGACGAGGGCTACCACCCGCTGCGCGAACATATCGCCCAGTGGATGACAGAGTACTATCATCCTCGCGAGCCCGTCTCTGTAGATCGGATCACCATCAGCGGCGGCGCCAGCCAAAATCTCGGCTGCATCCTGCAGGTGTTCACGGACCCCATCTACACGCGCAATGTGTGGATGGTGGCACCCACCTACTTCCTCGCCTGTAGCATGTTCGAAGATGCGGGCTTTGCCGGCCGTCTGAGGGCTGTCCCGCAGGATGATCTTCACGGAGTGGACTTTGAATTCCTGCGTCGGGAACTGACCATCGCGGAGAAGAAGGCCGCCGCAGATGGCAACTGCACTCCGGTATATCACCACCACTACCACCCAGTGCGGTTCATTGCTGCTACACACTGGACCGTAAATTGATTTCTTCTTTCCCTTACTAATCTGACTATGTCAATTCCCCCGGAAAAGACACACAAGCCCGCCCGACCCTGGGCCCACATCTACAAACACATCATCTACCTCGTCCCGACCTTCTCCAACCCCACAGGGCGGACGATGCCGCTCTCCGAGCGCGAGAAACTCGTCCGTCTAGCCCGCGACTTCGATGCCCTCATCGTCTGCGACGACGTCTACGACTTCCTCCAGTGGAGCGCCGACCCGAGCGTCCCGCTCCATCCCAGCGACACCGCGCCCCAGCCGCGGCTCGTTGACGTCGACCGGTTCCTGGATGGCGGGCCGTCTACGCCCTTCGGCAATGTAGTCAGCAACGGCAGTTTCAGCAAAGTGATTGGGCCGGGCCTGCGCACTGGCTGGGCGGAGGGAACGCCACAGCTGGCGTATGGTTTATCGCAGGCGTATGACTCTTCCCCCCAAAGCCATGAATCTACCAACGAGTAAGCTAACGCCCAAAAGCGGAACGAGCCGCTCAGGCGGCGCCCCGTCGCAAGCAACAGCAGCCATCATCGCCCAGCTGTTCCCGCAGCGGACGATCCACGCGTTCGTGGCGGATGTCCTGCGGCCCACTTACGCGAGAAGGTACCGTCTGGTAGTGGACGCCTTGCGTGAGCATCTTGTCCCGCTTGGAGCTACGCTGCCGGGGCTGGATTCCGCCGCGGGTGGCCCCGTTGGGGGGTACTATGTGTGGGTGCGGCTGCCGGAGCCACTGCGCGCGAGTGAGCTTCCACTGGGGCGGTTTGGGGTGGCTGTTGGGGTGGGGGCGTTGTTTGCGGTGCGTGGGGATCCGGTGGTCGAGACTAGTGGGTTTGATCGGGGGGCGAGGGTTTGTTTTGCTTGGGAGGAGGAGGGGAAGTTGGTGGAGGGGGTGAAGAGGTTGGCTGAGGCTGTGAGGTGTGCGTTGGGGTGAGTTATGTATGAAGGTAGATGGTATATTTACTTGGTATATATTGATTGGTATATATACGGATGAGTATTCAGCAGGAAAGGATACTAATAGATATGTTTATCTTTTGGGAGAGAAGTATATTTTTCTTTATGTTTGTATTATATTGCTCCATATTGTACTTTATTCTCCAGCGGAGTTGAATATATATTAAAGACCCACAGTAGTGGCAGCAGGAACAATTGATCTGAGCGTCTTTTGTTACTATTGTTCCTTTTTTGATTTCCATATATACTCCGTACTCCGTTGCATAATGAAAGGCAATACATGGAAATAGCCCAGACGACTAAACCCAGGCTACATGCAGGCCATATTGACTCCAATGTCGTACAGCGAAAACACGCACATGGGAAGCACCCCAAAACCCCCCCAATTATATCCAAAATCCACTCTGAATCATTCAACCACATTCAATTTCCAAAGCAAACCTAATACTCGCCCTCCTGAGAAACTTCCTCAGGAGATGGATCACACGATACCCACTCGTGAATAACCCAATGCATACCCATGCAGGGTCATCGAGAGGGGCATCATCACGCCCAACTGTAACTCACCCCACCAAGGCACAATAGCATTCACAGCCCAGGCTGCCTCCAGCGAGTTATTGACCTGGCCAGGTTCTCAGTCTTCGTGCGACCTTCCATTCTTAGACCCTTACCTGTCCAGATACTCGTTATTCAGGTTTTCAGCTATTCAGCTATTGAGTTTCTCATCTAGGCCAATCGCCAAGACAGGCCGTGGAATAGATACCCCGAGAGGAGGAGTAATGCAGGGATACCGTCGGAATGCAGGGAAGTGGGCGTCGTTAGTCACACCGGCTGACTGCCTTGGCTGCGAACTAGGGAATTGGATTCTAGGCCTGACTGGGTTCA